TAACTGCTGACATTACAGATAACGCTGGCTCTGCAAATCATTTCTGGTCATATGCCTGCCAGCACTGTCCATGTCACTTAGGGAATATGTCTTACAGCACAGCTCTCACCATAGTTCTGCTGCCCACTACTCCACCAGACAGTCTCCTCCAAAATGCAGTTTGCATCCGTCCAAGTCCTCCATTCCCTCACTTCCTCATTCTTTCCTTCAAACATTTGTAGACAACCTACCTTGTGCTAGCAAGAATTTTGGAGTCTTTGGCTGAGGGGACAAAGTGTTCCTACAATAGGGAAGTACAAAGTTATGTACTTTCACATTTAATAAAAATGGCATGTGAAGGCATGTGAAGATTAGAGTCAAGAGTATCTTGGGAACCAACAAATGCAAAGCCTGTGTCCTCCCTTTTGTGGGAAGAACACATTCTAAAATCCCTAGCAGATTCCTGAAACCACAGATAGTATTGAAATCTATATATGTGCTATTTTTCCAATGGGAAAAACATGCTATGATAAGGTTTAATTCCTAAAATGGGAATTTAATTGTTACAAAATTAATAATAATAACTGATAATAAACTGAAAGCATTGTATAATATACATTGTAATAATATAATAAACTGAAAGCAATATATAATATACATTGCAAGAATATACTGTAATGAAACTGCTAGCATCACAACTCTGGTGCAAGGCCAATTATTAAGCAAAGGGAGGGTTACTTGGACACGACCGATGGGGTATGTATGCATGACAGTCAATCTGAGAATAAATAAGACTGCCGAGTGAGTAATGGGAAGGTAGTATATATAGTGTGGATATGTTGTAGAAGAGAATGATTTGGGTGGGACCAGGCAAGACAGCATGAGATTTTACCATGCTGTTAGCACAGCCAATACAAAGGAACAGCAATGCAAATCAACATTGAGTATATTGGATTCACTATATGCCCAAGTAATCACTGATGTAGTCATTGACTATGAAGATGGAGCTAGAAGGAAGCAATACAAATACACATGACCTCAGTCAAGAGGTCAGGGCTGAAAATGAAGATTAGGCAAATATTGACATCTTCAGACCATGATTGGTGGCCAGTGCTTGAAACCACGGAAAACCATGAAACCACCAAAAATGAAACCTAAGATAAAGGGTTAGATCAACTACTTTTTTTAAAACTAGTGTGTTTAGTTTTTCTGATCTTCGGTTCCTTCTCAGACTAGTTGCTCCTTCTTGACTTCCTCCTTACCTTTTGATTCCTTCTTCTCTTTCTTATATTTTATGATTTATTTGTCAGAGAACTTTTAGGGACATTTACACCCCAGAAGACCCTAATGCCATAAAGATAAGTATTTCTATTAGACTTTTGTTGCTGTTATTTTGCCCCCCAAACCCGAGGTTGATAAAATTCCTTGATGGTAAGGTACACACTCAAGTATTATATTTGTCCAAAAATAATCAATGTAATGAAGAGCAGGTTAAGAGCATTTTGGTAAAATAAATGTTGACTCAAAGTGAAATGCTTAAAACTGGAGAAGTTTGTTGAGGTAAATTTGCCCATTTAAGATAGTTTTCGACTATGTGCTACATTGTCGATTGCTCTCTTGTTGTTACATATATTCATTCTGTCTCCAGGAAACAGGTACTATTGGCCTTAGATGTTGCGGATGATGTTTTTTGTTTAGCTGCCTTGGGGGGTATCAATTCTCTTCTTGTGAAGTAACTCTTTAACATCTATCATAAAGGCAGCCTAATAACAACTAGTTTTTTTTTCTCATTGAGTTTATTGGTACATTTTAGGTATACAGTACAGTTACATTCATCACTGGGATCTTGTACCTTTACATGGCAGGTCTTGGTTCTCATTTTTTGCCCATACCCCTGCCCTCCTTTCACCCCCTCCTCCCTTCCCTATTTACAAAAACTTTATTTCCATTTATGAAAGGGGAGAGTAGGTAGAATGCAACCAAGCTGGGTACATTTGAAAGATGAAGTGCATTAGCTTCCTTAACAAGGAATTATTCCAAAGAGCCAGTGGTGGTTGATGGAAAGCCTCAATCCTTAGCTTTTGGGGCCAGTGAAAATTTTGTTTTCTCAGTTACTCCTTTGAGTGAGAAAAGATATTGTGACCCTGAATGATATAGAGAGGGGTGAATATAAATCCTCAACCTGTAGATTTCCAGCTTTGGCCACCCAGCCTACAAGCAGTGTAGATGAAAAGGATTTTTATAGCAGGTGGCTGGTACCATAGTGATGGGATGGTTGCTAAGGATGTCATTATCACCCTGATTGCAGGAACCGGTGAGTTAATTGGCCTGACCTCATTCTGGTCCTCAGGGCCTACCTGTTAGCAAATTACAGTATAAGAGAGACAAAAAGTTGATCGTTCATAGTGTCAGGAGGCAGCACCTGTTAACATTTGACATAACATTTGAAACAAGCTGGAAATATACCGTATTTGTCCTGTTATCTTTTTCTCACACTGTGTCCTCTTCTTTACTACATAGAATTAAAAAGAAATGTTTTTCTTAAATTTCTTTTTTCATCTCTCTATTTTTTTCCTTTTCCCTCTAGAGGAAGGGGCTGTGGGGAGGGTGTTGGGAAATCAGCTGTTACACTGAAGAAGTCTCAAGGAAATGAACTGAAATTTTGAAGGAAGAAAAATAGCACTATGAAGATAAAATAAAACCCAGGATAATGGAGATTGATCACTCAATCTATCTATGGCCTCAAATAAAACTGATTGAATTTAACATGTTAGGTTACAGTTAAGAAGCGTAGTTGTTTCAATTGGGGTAATATAGTTTCAGATTTTCATAAGGAGCCATTTATTTATTTTTGCATTTGTGAGTCATTTAGTCATTCCCTTGTGAGTGAGAATACATTTATTTTCCTACTCCCTGCTGTTAGGCTTTCTATTAATACCACACTAGTTGAAATAAATGGAGCAGTAGAAACTGTTTGGTGGTGATTTTGTTTTTCAGATTTTTTTTTGATACTGCTATTTTAGTAAGTCAGCTTTCCAACCCCTTCCATGGTTTAAATAGAGTCTTAACTTCTCACCCTGTGCCCTCGTTTGCTTCACTAATGACAGTGTGAAGGCCACATAAATCCTTATAGTCCAACACATGCATACGAGAACAAGTGAGTAGTAAAATATTCCTAATCAAATAACATGGTTATCAAAAGCAATGGAAAAAGTGACAATTTTCTTAAATTCAAGTTTTCTCTCTACTCTTTTGTACTGTGCTCAAAAGGAAAACCAGTCTAATAAACAGGGCAATTGTTTCTGTAGGTTATCAGAAGTAGTAAGAGTCATGTTTTCCATAATCTTAAGAGGGTTTTCAAATGTATTTGGCTGTGCAAGGCGGTAAAGACTGCTTACACACCTTTGCAGTCCTACTGAGCAAAATAGAATGTCCTTGTTATTCTGGATGGTTAATTACTCTCAGTAATTATTGTTTATAATGAATGTGATATGGGATAAAGACACATTTGGAGGTTGGGGGAGGTTGAGTCCTCTTGGCTTTGAATCATATCCCACCCACTGAGGCTGATCGACTGAGCCAAAGGAGGGCTCCTACTCCTTCATGGAAGGGTTCAGAAAAGCCCGAAGGGGAGCTGAAAGAAACCATGTGGATACACACTGACAAAGGTCAAGCTTTCATTTCACTGACTGCACTGATGAGGATGGGTGTGGGGGACTCAGGGAGAGAGAATGATAAGTGGCCCTTTGTCCCCTGCCCCAGGGAGGAGGAGGTAGAAGCTGGACAAGTGTAACCATTCTATTCTCTCCTTGTGCAGAAGCCTTGAGAAGAAACAAAGAATGAAAAGGAGACAGGTGTGCTGGACACACACACACACACACACACACACATACACACACACACACCATTTGTTACAGGTGGTCAATAAGAGCAAGGATAATGTAGGCTTAGAGTTAAATACCAACTTAGAAGTATAATGTAAGAAGAGAAAAATGAATGAAGGCCACATCTTGCATGTCTGAGTGTTTGGCCAACTTCTAAGGTCTTAAATTATATGTATACTTGAGGTAGGTATTCATGGGGCACCACTGGACACTGACAAATGAGGACCCTGAGACAGAAAACCTAAGTGTGTCCTCTAGGAGCACAGATAAAATATTCAGGGAAGTAAAGATCAACTCTCAGGTCTATGTCTTGAGTGGGCATTGCTGAGACCACAGGTCCCTGTGCAGACAACAGTAGATAAAGTGGAACCCTGGAGGAAAGACTGGTAGCAAGGAGCCCACAGGGTCCCCTCCATTGACTCTATGAAGAGACTTGCATCTTGGACTTTCTGATTTCTTTCACTTGTTTTATGAAACCAATAAAGTCAAGTCACTGAAATATTTTACTGGCAGTTTGGGGTGAATTCTAATTGGCCCTGTTTGGAATTCCTGTCATTGCCAGGGAGAAAGCAACCAATCTTTATTCCCTGAAGATTACTTAGAGGTAGATTTATGAGAAGGAAACAGGAACATGGGTTGAGGCTCAGCTTCCTAAAGCCATTTTCTTTGATTTTGGGGGCAAGCTTTTGCCACTAATTTCCTGTCTACATTCCTAACAATTTTCACCAAGTTGCCTGGACTATGCTTGATACCATGAAAGAATGCATTTATAATACCCAAAGCCCCCTTTTAGGGCCTTTCTCTTCCACAAGGAAAGGATCACCTAAGGCAGCTCTCTGTCCACTGACCAAGCTGAGTGCTGGCTGGGAGAACCAGCTCTAGTGTTCTCCTCATCCCAGCCTCTCTCAAGGTTAGTTCATGAAATTGAAAAGGAACTTGCTTCTGTGCTGAGCTATAGTGACTTTGCATTATGCCTGGTATAATGAGGGCAGTGTTTGCTGGCTGTGGGTCTCACAAACAAATGTCACTGAATACGTTTGGATGGAGCATGCATAGTTGGACACTGTCATGCTGTAGGAACCAAAACCAATTGGCCAAGAAGAAAGAGTATAGATAAGTTTTATTTCTCCATGTGCAGTCTGTTCTTTGATCTAGGCTCAGGGCTGTGTTATAGTAGGTTTTAAATCTTGTTCTTTATTTAACCTGTTTTATGCCTCAACTTCTTCATCTGTAAAAATGGCAAAGATACAATTAATATCTAATTTATAGATTCATTATGAGTATTCAAGTATGTTATTTTGCAATACACTTAGCAGAGTCTGGAGCATAATCAGCACTTAACAAGCATTAACAGAAGGGCCTTGCTCTTTAAAGATCCAGCATCACTCTCTTTTTTTTATTTCCCCTGGTACTGGGAAATCACACTCAGGACCTTGCACTTTCGAGGCAGACATGGTACCACTGAGCTAAATCCCTGGCCCCAGGTCCAGCATTTCTGCTGCTCCTTTAGCTTAGAAATTTGCACAATTTAACTAATACCTTATATGTAGAGTCATCGTGGGGAAATGAAGGACAGAAAATGGCTTTGTATTTTACTGCTGATTTTGTTCTCTTGAATCTCACCTATTGAAGGGGTTAGTGAGAATGACTAAGGCAGAATAAAAGAAACTTGCTCTTAAAATAACTTTCTATTCTGCTTAATTTTATACACCTAATGCATTACCTTGAGTGACAGGTGTATCATTGTTCAGTAGATTTTTGTCAGGTACCTGTTTAGTCCCTACTTTTTTTGGGGGGGTACTGGGGATTGAACTCAGGACCTTGTGCTTGCGAAGCATGCAGTGGCACCACTGAGCTTAATCCCTGGCCAAGTCCCTAGATATTTTTAATGTTCTGATAATTCTGTGAAAATAAGCAAACTCCATTTTGGCGGGGAATGAAACTTCTGTCCCACAGTGAGAAACAGCTCCTTTCGCAAACAGGAGACATCACAGTCTGCTCAGATGGTGAACAAGATTTTAGGGACAGTACAGCTGCTGGAGGTATAAAGTGGGCTCATTTGAGCTGTAGCAGGTGACAGCCCTGCCACTAGCCATCAATGGAAGAATTAGTGCAGAGGTGTCACCGTGAGGGCGTGGACCCAAGTGTAGACATGCTGGCTGGTGGGTAACATCAGAGATGTCTCTGGAGGGCTGGGGATTTAGCTCAGTTCACAAGCACAAGGACCCGAGTTCAATTCCCAGTATCAAAAAAACAAAACAACAACAACAACAACAACAACAAAATAAAACAGAGATGTCTCTGGGGAGATGGTAGGCCACAGACTCTAGACTCCCTTTGCTGATTGTGGGAAGGGTGTACTTTCTAGTTTTAGAGGAACTAAATAAGGGTAAGTTGTCAAGATAAGGGCTTTAGGTTTTGTGTTTGGAAGTAGGCTGCCAGTGTGAGAGCATAAGTCAGATTTACACCCATGACAGCAGCAGAAGAAATACCTGACAACTGATGTATCAACGATACATTGCTTGAGATATGGATTCCAGCTTTAGCTAGGTTAACTCCCCAAATCTGTATGGCAAACTTATATGTGAGGCATGATTATGACTGTGCCCATTTTTCAGAGGAAGAAACTGAGGCTTAGAGAGGAACTTGTCCATCTGGCTCCATAGGTGCTGTCAGCTATTGTATCAAACAGCCTCTCAGAACGGGTCTCCCTACTGGGTTCCTGAAACTTAGCTGTGGCTGAGCTATAAGTAAGGCTCCACCTGTGAGGAAAAAAGGGCCCAAGATGCAGGGATTGAACCAGACCTGCCACTATGTCCCAGTGTTCCTTTGGAGCACTGTAAATGGCAGCTTATGTCTTGATCAGTCATTTCCTCTGTCCTACTTCAGATTCTCAAAATATTGGCTTTGTACTGAGTCCTAACTCTGAGATCCCGTGGAAGACACCAATTTCTGGCACTGATCTTGGAATTTAAATCTGCTCTAACAGAATCAAGGACCCATCTGCCACGCAGTCACATCACATCAGGTTCAAGGATGAGCAAGACCTACCCATACGCCTGTGTATAAACCTTCTCTTTGAAAGTGAGGACAGAGGTTAAGGGAAGGCTATATTCTTTGTGTAGGTAATTGCTGTCAGTATTTACAATCCTTTAAACTTCAAAGGCTATAGTAACAAGTAATACGGACTGGGTGGCTTAGGACAACAGAAATTTATTGTCTCATTGTTCTGGAAAATAGAAGCCTGAAATCCAAAAGATGGCAGGGCCAACTGAAGCTCTGAAACTCCTTGGGAAAGACCCTTCCATGCCACTTCCTAGCTCCTGGTAACTAGCTTGCAGCCTGCGGCATCTCTTGGCTTGTTCATTCATTACTTCAATTCTCCAATTTCACATGGACTTCTCCCTGTGTACTTTCCCATCATCTTTCTGCATCCCAAAGCCAGCTCCCTCTATTTAATTTTTTAAAAAATTTTATTCATTCACTTTGAGATGGTAGGGGTTAAACCCAAGGCCATGTACTTACTTGTTAGGCAAGTGAGTGCTCCACCACTGAGCTATACCACTGTAACAATTTCCCTTTTTTATAGGACACTAGTCATACTGAATTAGAGCCCACTATAATCACTTCACCTTAAATGCAACTACATCTTCAAAGATCTTATTTTTAAATAGAATTACTGAGGATTAGAACACTTAGAGCAGGGTAGAGGATACAATTCAACCCACAATATACACATAAACCCTTTCCAATTAGTACATTACTGTACCTTCTCCTCTGTCTTAAGACAAGAAAATGAGGCTCAAAGTCATTCAACTAGGGAATACAAGAGGAAAACTAAGTCCAACTCCAAAGTACTTATTTTTCCTGTTCATATGGTGCTGCCTTTTGGGATAGTATGTAGAAAATTTCCGAAACTCTTATAATAGTGCACTGTACCTTTTAAAAACAAATGTGACATTCTCAATCTTGTTAGTGACCTGGAAGTCCTGAAGCTTATTCCTTGCTGGTGCTTTGAACAAGGCTTCTGTGTTTGCTGCTGAATAAGCAGAATATGCACCCCATGTTATGTAGGGGAGTAATAAATGGACACATGCTGAGTCCCTCTAAGGGCAGATGTTTCATCCCAAGAAGCCTACTACACAGGAGAGTTCCTCACATTGTACAAACAGCAGATGCCATAGGATGTGTCTCACCATCAAAAGGTTTATGTGCTGTATCAAATCAGAACCTTGGAGAGATAATCCCATATTGGCACCTGATGCCGTAAAATGAAGTATGTGGCCTGAGGCTATTCACTTAACCCTTTAACCCCACCATCTGGAGCTTGGAGGTAATGATGTCCTGTTCCTTGGAGGCATCATTTAGGTGGCTTCGAAAATATTCTGGAAGACAGGCAAGTGGAACTGCTACCCTGACTTCAGAAAAAGTTAACTGAAAATAATTGGCATTTGTTGAATACCATTCTTAAGGATCCCAAGATTCCCATGGCTTATCTCCATCCCCAAGCCTCAGGAATTAGAAAAATTGACCAGCACCGTTGCCAAAGTTAACTCCTTGCTGTTCTATTTTCAGTTAGAATCATGTTTGGAGTTTCCCCTGAATTGAACACTAGGTCAAGGGATGTTTGGGATTATTAACTCCCATCAATCTTCTGAGAGTGAAAGTGCTGCAATATCAAATTTTTCTTCACATTCTCTTCTTTGATAAAACATATGCAACATTCATTTTCAGAGGCAGGCTCCTCTAGTTTTCCTGCCTCCTCCAAGTTATTTAATTATATTGTTCTCACTGTCCCTTAGTGTCGAGCTTTTGGATATACATGTAATTATCAGATTAGTGCCTACGTAAAAATCTTTGTTTTTGGTTGTCCTTCCAATATGCTAAATACACATCTAGGGGCAAAAACCTGGCGCTAGTACACTAAGCAACCCCTAAGCAACAGAGCCAGATGTAAAAGGTATTGTCTCACTGTATGTTAGGACTCCAGAGCAGAGAACTGGGGATGAAGCTCTATATGATAGCACCAGTTTGCAGAATGAGTCCCATTTATCTTTATTAATAAGTAGCACATTTGCAGGTGGCAAATAAAGATGGAAATGCAGTTCCATTATAATAATATTCCTTATTCTGAGTTAGGATTATGACTCATTAGAATTATTTGAGGAGCCACCTCCGATGCTGTCTGAATTTTTTTGCTTGCTTATGGTTCACAGTGTTCTTAATAACACTATTTGTTTAAAAAGAAGATTGAGAGAGATTTAAAGCTGTGTGATATGTGTAGGAATGCTTTCAGCCTACTTAGTTCCTGGCAATCAGCTATTTGGTCAGATATCTAACGTTATTTGATAGAGTGTTTCATCCTTCAATGATGGTCACATCATGAAAAGAGAAAACAATTTAACTTACCCAAATGCCATTGTTCAATCACTCATTGGTAGCACTCTTGTTAAAACAAATAGCATATTTCTCTAGATCAGCACTACCTCACTGCTGCATATAAATTAATTAGCCAAGATAAATTATAAATGGCATTGTTTCCTCCAGTTGTGTGTTTCCTACTGTTGGCCTTCTTCAAGAATTTGAAAATATAGTTTCTGATTATAGCACTTTTTAAAGAAGTAGAGAAATTTTTAGAGGAACCCAGCTGCTATTTATTTATTTATTTATTTATTAGATTAGGTATACAGCATTGAGACAATTCACAGAACATGATTATCCTTGTTTTATTTCTTGGTCTCCCTCCTTAGCCACCTTCTGTCACTTCCATAAGCACCTTCTCCACTATGTTTTACAGATCCTTCTAATCATCTTCCACGTGTTTATTTGGTTTATTATTTATTTAGAGGAATTGTACTGTCACTTGTGCATGTTTCTTAAAATTATATAGATGGAAATGTGCTGTAAATCTCATTCTCACTTTTTAACATCATGTTTTTAGATCTATACATTTTTCTCTCTATATAATCTAATGCATTGCTTTGGAGTCTTGTAGACATTGCTATACATGTGTGCAGCATTACTGACTCCTCCATTTAACATATTTCACTTATTTTCCTGGTGGGTAGTTTAGGGTTACCTAGATTCTCTAGTGGCTACTTAGATTGCTTATGATTTTACAGTACCATAAATAATGCTGTAAAAGTCTTCACTGACCATGCTTCCTGGTGGATCTGAGCAAGAGACTCTTTGAATAGATTTCCTAGAGAGGAATGTCTGAGTTGTGACGGTGTACTCATACTTTATTTCATTAAATACTTCCCAGATTGCTATGTAGAATGTTTGCACCACTTTATAATTCACTATCAGTAAGGATAAAACTTCCCCACATCCTTGCCAGCACTTTCTAACTTTTGCCAATCTGGTGGGTGCATTTTACAAAACAACACCTCCTTTCATAAAAGGGAATTTGCATTTCTCCAATTACTAATGAATATGTATCTTTCAAATAGATGGTAGCTGTTTCAATTTCCCCATCTGTCAATTGCCTGTTCATGTTCTTTGCCCATTTTTTAATTTGGATTTCCTGTCTTTTTTTTGCTTGTTTGCAAAGTTCCTTATATGTTTTAGATGTCAATTCAATATTGCTTTGCAAATGGAAATCTCTTCCAGTATCCTGCTGATTTGTCTATGCCTAAGTGAAAATTTTCAATTTAAATGCAGTCTAACTCACCAGATTTTTTTTTCTGTTACTATATTTCTATTAACAGCCCCCATGCAAATACCTTGTGTGATTTTCTTTCTGATATGCTATTTATACATCTGATTGCAGAGGACTGGCTTTAGTGTATTTAGTAGTAGAATAGAGCAGAACCAGGGTGGATTTAATTTTATGAGTTTAAAATTTTAGATTTTCTTGACCATGATGTGATATTACTTAGAAGAGAAGCACTTCATTTAGCAGTGTGGGTTCCACTTAAATTCCCTTTAAAAAAAAAACCAACCTCCCCAAAACCAGTACACATAAAAAGGGTAGTGTATTCTTTCTGTACTCAATACCTGTAAAGAATATGGAGATAACTAATTAAAATTATTTGCAGTGCCACCTCTGATACTTAGTCTGAACTGCCTACTCACTTGCTGTTCCCTTCTGTTCCTAGTATTGTTTGGTGTTTTGTTTTGTTTATTGAAACTTAGTTACACAGGGTTAATTAACCATATGCTTCAGTTCATGATTTAATATTATTTGTCTTCTCCTTGTTTTTTTAATGACTGTGTGTACATATTTACATACATATACATGTATGGAACAAAATTATCTGACTATCTACTAACATCACTGTAGATGAAATCATGATTGCAAATGTTTAGCTTTTCTGTAGTGATATTATATGTCCATATCTATGCCATACCCTCATGTATATTATTCTTCCCACCACTTAACTTTGGGCTTGGCCATATAACTGATTTGGCTAACAAGGAGATTAATGTTTTCACATTAACATAGTTGGGGATCATTCACTTGAGCTCCTGCTCTTTACCATAAGGGCATACCTTTGGTAGCTTTCCCTTTAATCTAAGAGAGAAGAGAAGCATGTGGACTCAACTTGTAATTTTAACCAAGTTACCAACCTAGATAAGCCAACTCTCAGTTGCCCTCCACACATGTGAGAAATGTCTGCTTGTTGTTGTAAACCACTAAAATTCTAATAATTATTATATAGTAATTATTATTACAACAGCTGACTAATGTATCTTCATTGCCTTCCTCCCTTTATTCCACTATTTAAATATCTATCATCTTTCATTTTCACATCAACTACTGTTTCCCACCCTCCAGGTGAATGCGCTTTGTGTAAATTCACATGTTCTTGAAATTTATGTATTATCATGTGTATGAAAATGTTTAATTTTTGTAAATGATATTTATTGACTATATATTGCTTATTTTTCATTTTTCATCAGACAGATATAAATCTAATTCTTTGCTTCTTTTTTATTTTAAAATGTATTTCAACTTACCCATGATTTATCTATTTATGTAAAGAATCCATTGTCTTGATAAAGAAACATTGGAGAAATATGTCTGTTCTGGTTCTCAATGTGATTTTCCTGAGGGGAAGAGTTAACCTGACCTTGGGGATGTGCTGAGAGGAACATTTTGGTTATAGCTTAGGCCTTGGGGACAAATGTGCCTAGGTTTAAGTCATAGCTGTACCATTTATTCAAAAAGCTTTTTATTGCGCTACTAGAGATTTAACCCAAGACTTTGAGTAGTATACTAGGCAAGCACTCTACCACTGAGCCACATTCCTAGCCCTTATTATAATATGTTATTCTTTGTATCTCAGGGCCTAGCACAGTTCCCAGCACTTGGCAAATATTCAGTAAATGTGTATTGAACAAAAATTATTTAGCATATCAAAACATGAATTTCCTTCTTTTTAAAAAAACAGGGATAGTAAACTCCTGGCACAATTTGGAGAGGAGTGTGTGTTCACTAAATATTACTTCCCTTTCTTACTTCTTTCTCTGTGCGGTCTCAACCAGTCTGTGATTCCAGTAGCTAATCATCTGAGCAGACAAGGAGCCCATGGTAACTTGCTGTTATTACCTCAATTTTCAGAATAAGGCTGAAAGGCTGATCTTCTCCAGCTGTTATTCATCCAATCATCTCCTGAAGAGTAAATTATGAATGAACCCAAATTACAAAATGCGGCCTAGAGTCTGAATCAGGTTAGGAAATATATTAAAGCTAATGAAATATCTAATTTGGAAACAGATCTTGGAATCTGCAAAGCTGAGGAATTGGCATAGTCTGATGCAGAATTCAAAATTTATTTCATTCATAATTTTCCAAAGTTGCCTTTTGAAGGGACACTGATAGGAAATGTCAGTTGGAACTCTGATGTAGTCTTATTATTTTGTCAAATGGCATATGTCATTTATTTTCTTATATCAGAATTGGCTTGGACATGGCGACAGCCTTCCAGGGTACAGAATACAAAAATGATAAATCCCAGAAAGAGTTAAACCTTAACTCCTTCTTCAAGAGACATTGTAGCTAATTGAGAAATTTTATTGTAAATTTTTTACCTTTTCCCCCAGGTGCTTCTAAAACAGTGCAAGGAAGATACAAGATGAAATCTGGAATTATTTAAACAAGTCACTTCCCTGGACCAGTTAGGCATCAGTCTTGACATCATTTTTTATAACTTGGCTTATATTAGTGTCTTCAGAAAGAAAACAAATCAGAGTACAGGAATGAACTTGGATTCACTTATACAAAGTAAGAATTTACAAAGGGTGGAGGGAAATATGATTGGAAAAGAGGCTCACAGAATTGAAGGGAAAACTGAGAAATAGATATGGCTGAGGAAAATAAAGGAAGCAGATTGCATTAGAATTCTGTTTCAAAACATACATAATCATCTCAGCAGGCTATGCTGCCACAATGGATGAGTGCCACCCTTAAAATCTACCTAAACAAGGTGAGGGGTGTAGCTCAGTAGTAGCTCTAGCATGTGCTAGGCCCTGGGCTAAATGGCCAGCACTAAAAAAAGATGAAGAAAAGAAAAAAAAAAATATATATATACAGGAGGGAGACTCTGGTTGACTTTGTGATTTTTTTTTTTGTCATTTATCCAGGGAAGGGGGAAAGGCTTCATTTACCCCATTTAGACTATACATCCAGGGGAGATATGCTTTCACTGAAGGGAATTTGGAATCTACTGGAATATGGACCAATAGAAAGAGGGAATGGATTCTGGATAATCAAAAGAGAACAATTGTCCATTATGCTCTATCATTCCAAAATGCATTTAAAGAAGGGACATTTCAAGTAAAAATAGAAAGCTCTTAATGAGCTCATGCCTGACTTTCAAAGTGTCAACAAGTCATGGCTTAAATTTAGTATTCTCTTATTTGAATTACTGGGAGTGATTTGAAGCAATGTGGTAGTCTTTATAAATTGAATTAAAGATGGTAGTGATTTCCCTGAAGCACAATTTCAGGTGAAGATAGACGAGGAGTAGTTGCAATGGTGAACATGTTGACTTTCACACCTTTCCTACTAACCTACTTTATAATCAACATTGAGCCTCACAAGTCATAAATAAATAGACCTGCAGAAATTCTTCCTGACCTGCAAAATGTGCTTGGCTGTCATCACATTTGCCAGTGCTCCTCTGTGGCTTTTCCTACAGACAACCTGAGAGCACACAAGCTTGGGGATGTTTAACAAGCACAACTCAAACATCTCTCCAACATGATATCCTAGTAATGAAGCCCCTACCAACACACACTCGAACAACGTCAGGGTGTAGGGAGAAGGAAGTGATTGTTTTCTCATGAAGCCTAACATAAGGGCCACATAAGCAGGTGTCAGGAGGTGGATTTTTGTAAATAAATTAACCTCTTTACTCTTCTGGGTCAATAATACGTTCTCATTTTACTGGGGAATTTGATTTATTGATTGTCTTATGTTCATTCCCTAGAAGAAACATTGAGGAATTAATGTTTTTGAGGTAGTTTTTTTAAAAAATCAACCATTTATATTTTTCTATTTATTAGTATTTTTCTAGTATTATTTTATTAATCTTTCCTATTTCAAAAAATGATATAGCAACCAAAATTACTAAGCCCATTTTCTAGGGAGGCATAGGACAGGTAAGTGGTTCTCAGGGTCTCAGAGCAAACTGTTTAGAGGATATTCACAGAAACTTCTAGCATAGGCTGGTTCTATACAGACACAGTCAACATCCACTAGCTCACTGTAATTTGTACAGAGCTCATTACTGAAGCAGTTTGGGAGATCCTCCCTTCCAAACTGAGCACAATCCAACTTCCTAAGGCCCAGTTTATCTAGTTGAATCTTTAAAATCAAATTTAAATATTTGGAGTGCACTGAAAAACAGAGGATAAATGATCAGTTCTCAGTGATTTTCTAAGACTTGAAAGGTATTTAATGCCAGCAAAACCCATTTTGGAAGGCCATGTTTGAGTTCTTTATTAAAACAAACAACATCAACAACAAAATACTTCTACAAGTTTTCTTTTTAAAAAGGCTGGTGGTGTATAACAAAAATGGGAGGCTTCGAATTCAAGATTTAAAATTCCTACTGTCTCTTGCTAGCTATGGGAAAATTATATATTTTCTCCTAAAACTTTAGTTTTCTCAGCTATACAGTGAGGAAAATATATATTGCAAGTTTTCTGGTAAAAAGTTAAAATGCTAATATATGCAAAGTCGTGATGAACTTTCTTGCAGATAATATGAATTCAACAAATTATAGCTATTAGAAAAAAAGAATACAGACCTAGTATGCTGACTAAAATAAATACCTGCTCCTTTACTGGAAGTATGTCTCTTAAATTCTTGTTCTTTTGGTGAAAAATAAAATAAATCTCTGGTTCATCATATACCTGAAGAAGACAACTCTCCAGGAAATGAAAGAAAGAAATAAAGAGAAAAGAAAAGAAAAAAAAGAACCTTATATCCTCTTAACACCCCACCTAAAACCCTTCCTCAGCCCATATATATATAGTATTTGCACATTTCCTAGGTTTCCTTTGTAGTATGTGGTTTATGCCTTCTTTCCTCACGTGCAAGAATAATAGTTTATTTGATTATTCTCATTCACTAAAGAAAGTACTAAGTCAAACAGCTATATGATCTGAAGAGGTGCCACTGTTTCTATCAAGATAGCTAATGGCTAATAACCATTGCACTAACTTTAAATATATTATTATTATTATTATTATTATTATTATTATTATTGTTATTATTGGGATAGCACTTTGGCTGTTTGCCCAGCACATCCTTGCTAATTCAGGGTCACACAAAAAAGTAATTCTCTGCCACAACTCAATACAATACAGGATCTGCATGATTAAAATGACCTCAGCATTTGGAATCCTGAGATAATGGCACTCCAAAATAAATTAAAAATGGGTTAGAATGCTTCCAGTGAATAATTGCTATTATCACGTACCATTCTTGCTCCCTACCAAAGTCTTTATTGATTTCACTGTTGCTCAGATGCTGAGAGTGTCTCTCCTATTGTTTGGGGGGAATTTAAGATGCTTACAAAGACTTACAAAATTAATGAATTAATGGGAGGGTGGCTGAAGGAAAAAAGAAAATGAGATATACCTACAGACACACTCTGAAAGAATGTTGTTGAGCGATAGACACTTTCTTTGGTAAAACCACATCAGATTTCTTTGTTCAATAGTTGCTTTCTGGGTGAATATGCTGAGTCAGGACAGGAGGCCACTGGCCCTTGGACAACTCCAAGTCATTTGCCCATACAAACTGTGGTGCCCATGCAGACCATTTTGATAATTGAATTCCCAGAAAACCTGTTCTGAATCACCCAGTAATTAATGAAATTTGTATTTGGAAGCCATTACTGATGCGGATAAAGCAGCATGCAATAATGCTTTCAGTTTCTCCATGGTTTTATTACTTTATTGGACCACCAGGGACTTGTACATCCCAGGGGGCACACTTTTCAATTTAATTAACCTGAAGTCACTTAGCCTAAAGAGTAATAAATAATAGATGAATACTCCCCCAATTTATCTCTTTTGGAAAATTACTTTCACTAATAACAAAATAATTTATATCCAAAATACAATCACACAGCCAAAGAGCAGGTTGGAGAAGGAAGGTAGAGAGCAGATCTTCAGAGAGTTGGTTGCGGTATGTATGCTAGACGTGGAATTATCTGTGGCTTCATTGCAAATAGGTAACTAGGCATCTTGTAGGCAGTTAGACAGGCCCACCCTCAAGGAACCGACATGGAGAACTATAAAGACAGATTTTCTGTGGCCAGAATTTTAAAAGGAGAAAAACTACTATACCCTTGTGCTTCCCCCAGGGGTAAATAGCACTAATTGATATTCTAAATAGGCATCAATCACCTGGGTGGGAGGCCAAGGTCTTAACCCAGCTTTTCCAGGAAATATCCTGACCCCCACTCTTACTAAAAATCCTTGTATGCTTGCTATGTGCCTTGCTCCCCCATTTGACCCCCATTTAATCAATATTACCTGGGTGACTATACTTGTGATCTTATTGGTTGATCATGGTTTTGACCCACCTCATTCCCTCCTCATAATTTTCCACTGGATCTTATAGTTTTGTTCCACTTTGTACTTGCCTCCCCACATGACTTTGCTGTATAAAACATATTTGAGAAGTGGGGTGGGTGGGCAACCTACTTTCTGGTCCCTCTTCTGTCTCTCTTAGAAGCTTTCTTTCCCTCAATAAATTTTTCTTACTCTTAATCTCCATTGTTCCTAGAATTCATTCTTCAATTTTAGAGAACACAAAATCACATTTTGGATATCTAGCAGATTCGCGCGTTACATCTCTTCCCCCTAAATCAGTTTAAAGGTTCAAAGTCCAAGGCAGAGAAGAGAGGGAGGGTCCTAGTTACTTTTGGGGCAGGATTTCAGGCATTCCAAGCAAGTGCCCCTTCCAGGCGTCAGCCTCCTTCTAAACGCACTCAGAATCTTTCCAGAAACAAAGCCAGCCTTCTATTGTTACACAAAAGGTTTGGAATGTGAAGTCCCCCAGGCAAGCAAAGCAGATGACTAAACTCATTGACAAAGGCAAAGGACTGACGTCACATCCTCTCCTGAGAGCTGGGATTGATGAAGAGGAGGGAAAGGTTTGGGATTTGAAGAGAGATGGGCAAGAAACAAGAGTCCAGGGCTCTTTTGCTAGTGAAAGGCAGTTACTGATGTATGGATATGCACTGAGCTTTCTCTGTATCCCAGGGTCTTTCTGACATTCTATTTTACAACACTACTGCAAAATAGGACTCCTAATCCCCTTTTGCTGAAGAAGAAATTGAGGCTATTATACACAGATTAATTCATCCATGATCACTTGGTTTCTAAATGGCAGATCAAAGACTGGAATTACAGTCAGCCTGATTCCAAAACTCATATGCTTTTTAATCCCACCATGTTTTCTCATAATAAAGCCTGATCTAAAATTTGGGGATGGTTAGTTTCAAAATATAAATCATCTTGTTTCAAATTTTACCACTCACTGAAGTATTTTGGAGAAAAGAGTCAGAAGAGTTAAATTAATTTTGTGGGTGAGACTGTAAAAGTTACTGAAATTTCGGAGTGAAATCCCTGGCTCTAGGGGTTCCAACAGACCGGGCTCAGCTATTATCCCCAAAACTCTAGAAAAGAATGAGAAAGAACTCTTTTGAGGGGGTACTGGAGATTGAACTTGGGACCTTGTGCTTTCGAGAAAGGCGGTGGAACCACTGAGCTAAATCCTCAGCTCAGAGAAAAAGAACTTTAATCAGCAAAATCATATTGGGAGGGACAAAAAAAAAAAAGTCTATCTTTCTGAGGCTGAGAAAAACTTTGAGGTTTATAGAAAAAGAAAACAAAGGCAGGAGTCAGAGGGTTGCCTAGCTGAGGGGCTTGCAGGGTAAATAATCCTGGCCAAACCTTTATCTCTGATGGTTATCTCAAGACTGGTTCTTCAAGGTGGTTCAGGAGAGAACCTAGTGCTGGAGAGAGCAATCCATGTCCATCATATAGTTGTTCCTGCTTGGGAGATAGCTCAGTTTTCTTCAGCTCAGATGATATGTCTTTGAGGTTCTGCTTTTCCTGGAATCTTGAGGGACTGTAGGTTTAGCACAAAGACTGGAGACTTCTAAGCATGTTCCATAGAATCTAAAATAGGACATTGTAAAAGCTGGCAGAATTCACATTCTAGAAACTAGAACTCCTCTTTCCCAAAACAAGCCACAAAGCCCAGAGAGGTCATTCTCTCTGTTTTTCTTTGGAGACTAGTCCTGCCCATATCCAGGAGAGAAGAATGCTACACAAAAAGGCCAAGAAGAATCTTTCCATTCTTCACTGAAACTGAGTGTAAAGATAGATAGTTTTCCCTGGGTCATTATGTCTTCATTTCTTAAGGCTCTAATGTCATAAAGCTTTGATTAATAAATCTCCTGTTTTCTCTTGTTAACCTGTCTTTTGTTACAGGATTGTTACTGTGACCCTTATGATGGGTGAAAAAAGGTCTCACACCTTTCTAACCCTTCAAGAGCAATTTAGAGATATTTTTGTATTTCTTCCTGTATAATACTCTGCACCCTGCATATCTAATCAGTCCATTGCATACACTGTCAACTGTGGTTTCCTTTTCCCTCTTCTCCATCCCCAGTGTCAATCAGTTGGTGGCCTAGTTATTTCTTCTATTAGTGTTATAATCTCCTAAATTGGATTGATCACACTGCTTCCCACCCTCCGATGCTCTATAAATCATGTTTAAATTGATGATAAATTGGCTTCTCTAAACCTTAAAGCTTGATACATAGTGTTGAACGAATTCATGAATGACAAAACAACCAAATAATTAACAATGTAAAGACAAATCAGGGCTGGCGATTTAGCTCAGTGGTTCCGCCGCCTGCTTTGCAAGTGCAAGGTCCCGAATTCGATCTATGGTACCAAAAATATAACAATAAATAAAATAAATAAATACAAAACTTACTCAAATTTACACTTAAGATTTAAATCTCCTTGAGTATGTATTTTATCAAAATTTAAAGATGTACAAATAGCTTGTTTTTTTTGGGGGGGTGGTTTTGAGACAGGGTCTCACTATACAATGGAGACTGACCTGGAACTCACTATGTAGCCCAGGCTGGTCTCGAACTCACAGTGATCCTCTTGCCTCAGCCTCCTGAGTGCTGGGACTACAGGCATGTGCCACCACTCCCGGCTAGCTTGTATTTTTTTCTAGCTGATTTGTTTTATTCTGCTATTTATACTTGAAAGTAGATTTGACTTTATTATTAAATACACACCTATGTAAACAATATTCCATTTTAGACAAAACATTTACATTTTGCTGGATGTTTCTTTTATGCCTTTCCGCAATGACTAATGCTATTAAACCCTTTCACATGCTTATTGGCCATCTATATATTTGCTTTTGACATGTGCCACCACTCCCGGCTAGCTTGTATTTTTTTCTAGCTGATTTGTTTTATTCTGCTATTTATACTTGAAAGTAGATTTGACTTTATTATTAAATACACACCTATGTAAACAATATTCCATTTTAGACAAAACATTTACATTTTGCTGGATGTTTCTTTTATGCCTTTCCGCAATGACTAATGCTATTAAACCCTTTCACATGCTTATTGGCCATCTATATATTTGCTTTTGTGCAATGTTTATGTTTTTCACCTGTTTTAAAATTTGGTCACTTTTTTGGGGGGTTGGATTTGAGACAGGATCTCACTATGTAGTTGAGACTGACCTGGAACTCATTATGCAGCCCAGGTTGGTCTCAAACTCACAGCAATCCTCCTGCCTCAGCCTCACAAGTGCAGGTGTGAGCTGGTAGATTTGTAGGAGTTCTTTATAAATTAGGAATGACAGCTATGTCAGAATAAAACTAATTTGAATATATTTTCTTAGATTTGCTTTCTACTTCCTTAATTTTATTTTGTGAGGAGAAACATTTGAATTTGATTTTCCATTTTATAATTTTTTTCTTTCATGAGTTGTGCCTTTGAGTTTTATCCCCAATATTTACCAGCTACAAGTTACAGTGTTTCTCTTTAGACACTAGAAACTCTATACTTAAGCACTTTAGTTTAGATATACAGGTTATTGTGAATTAATTTTGTGTATGTTGAGAGGTAGAGATAACAGATTTGTTTCTTCTGAACTATTTGTTGGAAAAATTGCCTTTCTCTATTTAATTGTGTTGTACCTTTGTTGAAAATCATTTGATTTTGTATATGTCTATTTATGGATTCAATGTTCTAGTGACTTTATTGTCTAATCTATTATCACTTACACACTGTTTATTATTAAAGCTTTATAGTAAGTTTTTTAAAAGGTAATACAAGTATCCCAACTTTCTCAAAATTGTTTCATCTATCCTAAGTGCTTTGAGTTGCCTATACTTCTATAAATTACTATGTTACTTGTCACAAAGAAAAGTCAATTTAGATTTTTATTGAGGTTATTTAGAATATTTGGAAATATTTGAGAAGAATTAACACATTAGCAACAGTGATTTTTTTCCAGTCCATGAACATGGTATATTTCTCTATTTCTTTGGGTTTTACTTATTTTCAAGTAGTTAGAAATCTTGTGAATCTTTCATCAGATACATTTTTAGGTATTTAACATATTTGATATAATTTAAAATATCAGTTTAATATTTTTTCATTTTTATTTCCTACTAGTGTGCAGATATATACCTAGAATATTGTACATAAACATCTGAATATGGTGAGTAAACTCAGTTTTTGCTTCTCTTCCTGTCCTTCCTTTGTGTCTTTTATTTTTTCTTGCTTTAAGACTTTTAGTGCAATTTAAATAAAAGTGGTGACAGTTTGCATTGCTTCTAATATTAGAGAAAGGGATCCAGTGTTTTACTATTAAGTATGATTCCCTCATCAAGCTGTTTGTAGATTTCCTTCATTAGGTTTATGTTTTATTACATTCAATTTGCTAATATTTTATTTAGTACTTTTGTATCTCAGCTCATAAGAGATATTGGCCTGTAATTTTTACTTGTAATCGATGTCCTTCCACAGATTTTCCTATCAGCGATATGTGGCCATCACAAAATTAATTGAATATTTGTTTCTTTCTAAGTCTTTTTATTCTCTATTGTCTTTGATACATATCTTTATGTTTGTTTTAGTTACTTTAAGGTAGAGATTTATAAACCATCTAGAAAACTAATTGAAACAAAAATTGGTAAGCCTTTATCCAGAGTTCTTAATTCAGTAGATATGAATAGAAATCAATAATTTCCATTTTTAACAAGTTATCAGTTAATCCAGCATCTTTTCATACTATTCATCGAAGAACCAAACTTTGAGGAACACATTTTGTCTAGTTATTTTTTTTCATTTCTGAGACAAAATACCTGGCACTCAAAGTTAAAAGAGGAAAGGTTTATGTAGCTCACAGCTGGAGCCATAAACAGCTGTCTCCAAGGCAGGGTGGCACATGGTAGAGGATCAACAGTTCATGGTGGACTGAAGGTAGCAAAACAATAAGGGAACTTAACAACATCTTTCTACCTCTTATGTCTTATCCATTCCACTGGCATTAGAGCAGTGCCAAACCAATCAGGGGACTGATTTAGTAATCACATACACCTAATCCTAGCATCACACATTCAGCCACTTCTGAAAAAGCCCTATGACCACATGAGGTTTGGAGGAAACATCCAGACACAAACCATAACACTTTTCTAGAGATGAAAGCATACATCTTTTATTTATTATAATCTACTTAAAATTAATATTCTACCACTTTACTACAAAAAATGTGTTACAACAATAAAATTCTATTTTTAATTACTTTTGTGCTGTTGTTGCCATTTCTATTGTATGTACCAAAGTAATAAAGACCAAATATAATTTTATAATTTTTTATAAAGGGTGAATTGTTTTTCAGCAAAACTAAGAGGAAAAAAATATTTTATA